ATGGCAGTAGGGACCAAACTTTTTACAACTGATAGTGAGTTGTTTAAGGACCCTAGCCTCTATAGAAGCACTATTGGAGCCCTTCAATATGTCACCTTTACCACGCCTGATATCAGTTTTACAGTGAACAAGCTTAGCCAATATCTTCAGGCTCCTACTGAGTTATAATGGCAGGTTTGTAAAAGAGTTTTAAGGTACCTTAAAGGTACTCAATTCCATGGCTTGCTATTCAGACCAACAACCTCTCTCAATGTTGAATGTTATGCAGATGTGGATTGGGGAGGTAATTTAGATGACCGACGGTCTACTAGTGGATATTGTGTGTACCTAGGTCCTAATCTGGTTCAATGGAGTTCTCGCAAGCAAAAAGTGGTTGCTTTGTCATCTACAAAGGTTGAGTACAGAGCACTAGCCCAAACAGCAACTGAATTGGCCTGGTTGGACAGTTTGTTTACTGAAATAGGTGTGTCACTCAACTCTTGTCCTATCATCTGGTGTGACAACGTGAGTGTTGGAGTGTTGGCATCAAATCTAGTCTTTCACGCAAGAACAAAACATATTGAGATTGACACTCACTATATCCAAGACCAAGTTCTTGCAAAAAAGTCATTGTGCAATATGTTCCTACCAAGTTTCAAATTGTTGATGTTCTAACAAAAGCGCTTTCAATTAGTTAGTTCCAAGAATTGAAACACAAACTTTGTGTTGTTAAGGTACCACATCTAGATGCTAAAGTTGACAGTAGCCGAGAATCATCTTAATCTGTGAAGTAGCAGTAGAAACCTGCTAAGTGTGTGTAGAAGTGGTAGAAGATCTACATTACAGGAACATGACTGATATGGTAAGGTGTAGTGTTAAAAAATATGTCAATGTGGTATACAGATTTGGCTGCTAATGAACTATGAAAGAATGTTGTGTTAAGGTGTTGTGTTTTCTGTTTATAAACATGATAATGAGAGGTAATGTATTGTTGTTTGTGGTATGGTATGAATGCTGAGTATAAGCATTGTTGAGATAGCTTCTAGTTTGGCATGAATGTTAGTAGGAATTAGCTGTTATTTTGAGAAAGTGAAGAAGCATGGCAGAAACATCATGTTGGTAGTATTGTTGAGATAAGCTTCCAATATGAATAATGGTATGGTATCAGTTTATGTCAATAGGAAGCTGCTATTTTGAGAAAGTGAAGAAGCATGGCAGAAACATCATGTTGGTAGTATTGTTGAGATAACTTCTAGTATGAATAATGGTGTGGTATCAGTTTATGTCAGTAGGAATTATTTGCTATTTTTGAGAAAGTGCAGAAGCATGGTAGAAACATCATGTTGGTAGTATTGTTGAGATAACTTCCAGTATGAATAATGGTGTGGTATCAGTTTATGTAGTCAAAAAGCCAGTCTACATATGAAGGAAATGTTTGAAGACAACAAACTAAAGTCTTGAAGAAAATCCAGCAACCGTAGTCCAGTTTGAGGGGGAATGTTAGCCAAAATGTAAGGAGGGAAGTTTTGTAAAACTGTAGGTGAAGAAATGAGTAAACGGCGTCGTTTTGTAAAGTAGAACTTTACTCTTGTCACTAAGCTGGGTTTACTCTCTTCTTTGTATATAAACTCAGCTATAGTTTCAGCTTGTATTAATTGAAAATTAATCAACAAAATACACAAGTTCTGAATATTCCAGAACTCTTTCGATCTCTGTTTCCCAATCTCACACCCTTCACCACCACCTCCATACATCTACAAATCCTTTCCACCACCATCTCTTTCTCCTCCACCACCATACGTCTACAACTCCCCGCCTCCACCGTCCAAGAAAACTAAACCATCACACCCAAACTACATCTACAAATCACCCCCACCTCCAGAAGGCTACTGAGCTTAATTTCCTCCGCTTTTTTATTTGTTTGATTTGTAACAAGAATAATTATTGGGCTTTGCTATGTATGATTTGTAATTTTGTATTTCTATTGTTTTTTAGAATGATTAAGAGTTTAAATTGGTGAATTCATTTGTATGAAGCATTAGCTCTTTGTACTGGATTCATACGTTGTAATCAATTGTAGTTCTTTCATTTATTTTAAGATTTTGTAAGTTATTAAATTTCATGTAATCCTTAAATGTATGTTTGTCTAGTAGGCGTCAACTTCCTCCATTTTAACAAATCAACATAACTTTTCTAAGTATTATGAAGAAATTTATTAAAAGTTCTAAGCAAATTATAAAATCATGTTATGTTTAACATTAATTCATGAAGTTAGCAAATTAAACATATTTTTTTGTATTTCTTTTTTACACAGTCATATCCAATGTTCTGAAAACCGGACCGGGCCTTGAGTCGGTCAAGGGCCTAGTTCCCAGGTTGATCAATCTGATCGGTTGGTTGGATTGGTGATATCAGCAATTCTAGCATGTTTGAAATCCAGCAAATAAACCCCTAAAAATTAACTTAGTCCATATAGGTTTGAAATCCAACAAAAACACCCTATAAAATTACGAATGCATCTCTACAAATTTGAAATCTAGAAAAAATACCCTATGATCTAGGCAGTCATGTGAAGAGATTGATGGCAGCAATGGCAATTAACAGCCAATCAAAGTTTAGGGTGATGGAGCTTTTGATGTGGAGATGAAGGCGATTCTTATGGTGGTGTCAAGAAGGTCTAATGGCACCGGAAGCTACCAGAATCAAGGAAGAAGATCGTCAGTCCCGTGAAGAAGAGGTGGATGGTAAGCAACGAACGGTAGGAGTACTAGGACTAAAAATGGTAGGTTTTTTTTTTTTTTTTTTTTTTTTTTTGCGGAGGTGACAGTGAAGCTAATGGTGGTGTTAAGGGGGTTGAACGGTGCCGGAATCAAGCCGAATTGACTCACGGCTGGACTGGTGATTTGGCATTGTTCCGCTTGTCCAACTGTGAGTCAATCTGACCTAATTGCTATAACCGAGTTCAGGGTAAAACATACCAAATAGGGCGTCAGTTCCCAATCGGGCCGGTTTGGTTTTTAGAACACTGGTCAGATCATCTATTAAAAAAAACTTTAATTCGAAGTTCTTTTTTTATTAATATTTAATTTTTTTTTTAAGGTCTTTGGCTATCTAAGAAACAGACAACAATCAGAGTATGTGGTGTTAGGGAAAACTTACCCTATTACAGGATCGGTGAGATGCGAATTTAACAATGAAAATGTCAAAAAATAAAAATAATTACACAACAAACACCAAATTTTACGTGGTTTGACAAAAAAAACCTACCCACATCACATGGACATGAAAATCCTTAAAAATACAAAAGAAACATACAAGTTTAATCACTCAAATTTATTCCCAAACCCAAAACTATGTGACCCAATTAGGCAAGAAATAATTCGTAACTATGTCACTATAAATTCAATATTTATGTAATACTAGTCAAAAGGATCGACTCGAGAACTTTATAATGTTTGAAAATGATTGATTTTTTAATTAATTAGCCTTTCATCATCTTACTTTCTAGAAGTCATGAAACAAAATTATAGCATTACGATGCTTCATTCAACTATTATTTAAGCAAATATAAATAAAATAATAGCTAGTAGTTTGATAAAATAAGATTAAAAAATATCGAGATCATATATATATATGATCATCGAAAAATGAAACAAATTCATAATAGAAGAGAATCCAAATTCACAAATTATATGTAGAGGTGGGCAAAAAGTTTGATCCTTGCAGGACCGGTCTTGGGACCGGCCCGAGTCCTAGGGAGGGGTGACATGGCCTAGGCCGGTCCCTCCTCTAGGGCCCGGGCCTGGGACAAGTTAATTTCAGAAGACCCCTAACAAATAACGAAAACCCCCTGACAAATAACAAAAACCCCTTATATTATATGAAACACATAATAAATTTAGGGGTTAAAATGTAATTTTTCATCAATCTTGTTGGGCCTAAGACCGACCCTATACAAGCCAGGCTCGAGCCTGAGACTGGTATGGGGCCTCACAAAATTGGTTATAGCATTTTCCTTGGTGGAAATTTGGTGCAATGTAACTCTAGGAAACAAAAGGTTGTTTCATTATCATCCACAGAAGCTGAATATAGAGCTTTAAGCCAAGCCGCAACTGAGTTAGCTTGGATTCAACACTTATATCAAGTGCTTGACATTCAAATAAACAAAGTCCCTATTCTATGGTGTGATAATATGATTGCAGGAGCACTATCATCAAATCCTATTTTTCATGCTAGGACCAAACATATTGAAATTGATGTTCATTATGTGAGGGAACTAGTTGCTGAAAAAAGGTTCGTGATTCAGTATGTGGCCTCTTAATTTCAAGTAGCTGATGTGTTAACCAAAGCATTACCTTGTCATCAGTTTCAGTTCCTTAGAGATAAGTTTAATGTTGTTGTAACTAAAACCTAACTTATCAATCACACAAACACACAATCAAGAATCAAGAATCAACACCAGAAATTTTACCGTGGTTCACCTATCTTGTTTCAAATAGGCTATATCCACGTTGAGCTTCGGAAATGGAGAGCTCACTACACTAATCTTTAATTGAAAATAGTTCACATACACACTCAGATCAACCCAATCTTAACAACCCCTAAACCAAACCAACTTCTAACTTCTAATCCTAGAGATATCCCCACAGAAATCTCTAAACCTTGAGAGAACTATAACCCTCACAGAATGACAAGATCCTATCACTCAATCTTTACAAGTCACACAAATTTGATTCAAGTTTTTGTAATGCTCTTAGACAAAACGAAGAAGAAGCTGTTGTGAATCTTAATTTTTCTGCTGCCTTTATAGAGTTGATTGGAATTGATGATAGCAGTCGTTGGATCTTTGTTTGATCAATGGTCTAAAACTGTCCACTCAAAGCACAAAACAGCAGCGCACCACTAAATCCAAAATGACACAGCTTCAAGTCTTCACTCAACAATGTCCACCTTGAAGACTTTAAACTCTATTAGTGTAGATTGCTCACAACCAAATCCCTCATCACTTTAGTCACTCCTGCCTATTTTATAAATAGTAAGTTCAAGCAGCGCTTGAACTTAGCAAGAGTGACTATCTTAGTGCCCATGTCTACAGGGTTGTCTTCTGTGTTAACCTTCTTCAAATCAATTATTCCTTGCATGACCAGATCTCTTACAAAATGGAAGCGCACATCCATGTGTTTGGTCCTTTCGTGATAAACAGGATTTTTACTTAGGTGAATCGTGCTTTGGCCGTCTGAGTAAATAATCACTGTCCCATTAGTCAAGCTTGCCTCAGACAGAATTCCCTTCAGCCAAAATGCTTCTTTAAACACATCGGCAACTGCCACATACTCAACTTCAGTCAACGAGAGAGTTACAATAGGTTGTAGCTGAGTCTTCCAGCTTATGCAGTTGCCTCCAAGGGTGAAGTAGTAAGATGTGGTTGACTTTCTACTGTCTTTGTCACCTACAAAGTCAGCATCTACAAAACCAACCAAATCAAGTGAAACACCTCTATTGCAATATTCTAACCCAACACCATGAGTACTGTTTATGTATCTTATTACCCATTTTAAGGTTGTCCAGTGTTCAGCTCCTGGATTGGACATGAATCTACTTAATAAAGATATAGCAAAGGATAAGTCTAGCCTAGTACCAATCATCCCATACATCACAGATCCTATTATGTTTGAGTAAGGTACAGATTCCATTTTTAGCATTTCAGCCTTAGTTTTGGGGCATTGCTCTTTACTTAGCACAAAGTGGCTAGCCAAGGGCATAGTGACCAGCTTTCACTCTGCCATTCCATATTTTGTCACCAATTTCTGCAAATATGACTGCTGATGTATTTTCAGTACACTGTTTTTCCTATCTCTATTTATAACCATGCCTAAAATCTTCTTTGCTACCCCTAAGTCCTTCATCTTAAACTGAGAACTGAGTTTCCCTTTTAATTCAAGTATTTTTGACCTAGACTTACTCACAAGCAACATATCATCAACATAGAGTAATAGGTAGATAGGAAAATTGTTAGTTAATTTGAAATAGAAACAGGTATCATATTTGCTTCTAGTAAACCCTATGCTCATAATAAATGTGTCAAATCTCTTGTACCATTGCCTTGGGGACTGTTTAAGTCCATATAATGATTTGTTTAATAGGCACACATGATTAGGCATTCTTGGGTTTATAAACTCAACAGGTTGACAAATGAATATCTCTCTTCTAAGCTGCCATGAAGAAAGGTAGTGGTGACATCTAACTGTTCTATCTCTAAGTCATGATGGGAAGCAACTGATAGCATTAACCTAATGGTTTTATACTTCACAACAGGGGAAAAGACTTCATTGACGTCTATGCCCTCTCTTTGTGTATACCCTTTGGCCACTAACCTGGCCTTAAATCTAGGGGGATCATTAACTGAAATTCCTTCTTTTATCTTGAATAGCCACTTACACTGCATTAGTTTATGGTCCCTAGGTTTGGGAACCAAAGACCAGGTTCTATTTACCTCAAGTGACTGCATTTCCTCTTTCATTGCTGCCCTCCACCTGTCTCGGTCCTTAGATTTCATAGCTTCCTCATATGATTCAGGTTCAATTCTCTGTATTTCAGTTCCTACAAGCAAAGCAGTGAATATTAGGTTAGCATATGAATATCTAGTTGGGGGTCTTACCTCTCTTCTAACTCTGTCCCTTGTAAGCTGATATTGTTGTAAATCATTCTGAGATTCAGTCATCACTTCTGTTGCATTTTCTTCTTCTTGTTTTACATCAGCATCAATTGCTTATTCTATTTCTGACTGAAGTGTATCAGTTTGTTGGATTTCATGCTCCACCTCAATTTGAGTATTCTCACTAAAAGCTAGAATTTCTTTAGAGGTGTTAGGGTTGCCTGTATCATTGTTAGTAGCTTTACATGGGAAAATCCCTTCATTAAATACCACATCCCTACTCACAATGACTTTTACCCCGTGAGACTCTCTATCCCAAACCCTATACCCTTTACTGCCTTCTTGATATCCTAGAAAAACACATTTAATGGACCTAGGTTCCAGTTTTCCCCCCACTGTGTGTGCATAAGCTGCACATCCAAACACTCTTTGGTGATTCAGATCTGATTTTCTGCCAGACCACCTTTCTTCTGGAAAATCTAAGTCTATAGCTATGGAAGGACTTCTATTTACTAAATAAGCAGAAGTAGTTACTACCTCCCCCAAAAACTAGTTGGCAATCCAGAGGTGAATAGCAGGCATCTGACCTTTTCTAACAAGGTCCTGTTCATTCTCTTAGCTACCCCGTTTTGCTAAGGGGTTTTTCTGACAGTCCTATGTCTTATAATACCATTTTCACTACAAAAGCTATCAAATTTATTATTACAGAATTCTAGACCATTGTCTGTCCTTAAAGTCTTAACTCTATCTCCAATTTGATTTTCTACCAACATTTTCTCGTCCTTAAACTTGGCTAAGGCTTGGTCCTTCGATCTAAGAAGGTATACCCACACTTTTCTACTGTAGTCATCTACAATAAAGAGGAAATAACTATTTCCTCCATGGGACCTTACTTTTTCAGGTCCACATAGATCTGCATGTAGGTATTCTAAACATTTATTGGCTAGGTGAGTCCCTTTTTTGAAACTCAACCTATGTGGTTTTCCCAACATACAATTTTCACAGAATTCAAGAGTGGAAATAGTGTCCTTACCAAACCCTCCCTGGTTGCTCAGGATATTCATTCCCTTTTGGCTCATGTGGCCCAATCTGAGGTGCCACTTATCTGTCACAAAGAGATCAGCAGAGACAAGTACAATATTTAATAATTCAGAGTTATAATTTCCCCAGAGGACATATAGGCCATTTTTCTTTGCTCCTTTAAGGACTAAGTTTCCATTTTTGTATACATTTAGACTCCCTTTTTCGGAATTATAACAGCAGCTTGCCTCATCAAGTGTCCCTAGAGAAATTAAGTTCCTTTTAAGCTCGAGGATGTACCTAACCTTAGTCAACTTAATCAATTTCCCACATGTTAGTCTTATTGTTATACTGCCAATACCTTTGACCCTTCAGGCGTTGTTGTTACCCATAAACACTGTTTCATTATCGTATGGCTCCAAGTCTTGAAACCAATTTCTATTAGGGCTCATGTGAAATGAACAACCAGAGTCTAGAACCTATTCCTGTATACTATCAGATTTGGACACAATGAGAACTTCAGGTTCTTCTATGTTGTTTAGGGTTTAAGCTAGGTTACTTTCAGTGTTCCTCTGTTTTTGCTTTTTAATCCAGTCAAAGCAATTTTTCTTTAAATTACTTGTTTTATTACAATGGAAGCAATTCCTAGTTTCTCCTTTGGGCCTATTATTTCCTTTCCCCTTTTTCTTATTTCTAGACCCATTATTATAAGTGTTTCCCTTTCTTGATTAACTAGATTCTACTTTACTCTTCACAAACAGGTTACTGCCATTCCTGTTTTGCACTTTTAATTCTAGTTCTCTAGTCTTTAATCCTGCTATGATTAAATCTAGACTAGGTACAGTCCCAGAGTACTGTAATGCATTCTTAACAACAAGATATTCATTAGTTAAAAAGTTTAATAAGATCATGGCAAGACTAGTGTCCCCTAATTCTTGGTCAGTTCCTTTCAAGATCAGTGTCATCTTTAGAAATTCATCTAAATTATCTTCTATTGACCTAGCACCATCCATTTTATATGAAAACAAGGCACCTTTCAAGAAAGCAAGGTTTGGTGCAGATTGCAAAGCATACAGAGTTTCGAGTTTACCCCATATCGCCAGAGGAGTTTCCAACCCATCCACTTTCCTTAGTATGCTGTCAGACAGATTCATCACGATCAGATTGTATGCCTCCTCGTCAATTTCTGCCTTTCTCTTTAGCTTTTCTTTAGGCCACTTCTCTATGTTCTTTTCTAGTGCAAGAGCTACTTTATTATGCGAGAGTAACGCCTTCATTTTCTTTTTCCAACTGTCGAAGTCAATCTTCCCATCATATTGCGCAATTTCCATTCTGGTCGTAGCCATGGTGGGTGGGTGTGATGATTATCCCAATTTAGGCCCCAGTTAGAACCTCGAATCTTCAATCTAAAAGCCCTAGAGTACCCAGAAGTGTTTAAAATTGAAAAACCCCAATTTTCCTTCAAACCCTAGATTTCCAAAAATCTTTTCGATCGACTCGATACTCAATCAATCAGCCAGACCTCACTCCTATAGCTCTGATACCACTGTTGTAACTAAAACCTAACTTATCAATCACACAAACACACAATCAAGAATCAACACCAGAAATTTTACCGTGGTTCACCTATCTTGTTTCAAATAGGCTACATCCACATTGAGCTCCAGAAATGGAGAACTCACGGCACTAATCTTTAATTGAAAACAATTCACATACACAATCAGATCAACCCATCTGAACAACCCCTAAACCAACCAACCTGTAACATCTAATCTTAGAGATATCCCCACAAAAATCTCTAAACCTTGAGAGAACTATAACCCTCACAGAATGACAAGATCCTATCACTCAATTTACAAGTCACACAAATTTGATTCAAGTTTTTGTAATGCTCTTAGACGAAACGAAGAAGAAGCTGCTGTGAATCAGAATTTTTTCGCTGCTTTTATAGAGTTGACTGGAATTGATGATAGCAACCGTTGGATCTTTGTTTGATCAATGGTCTGAGATTGTCCACTCAAAGCACAAAACGGTAGTGCACCACTAACTCCAAAACGACGCAGCTTCAAGTCTTCACTTAACAAATGTGTTTCTCTTGCAGTGACAGACTCTGAAATGTAGTGTGTTGTGTCATCAGTTTCAGTAGTGTGTTGTGTCATCAGTTTCAGTTCCTTAGAGATAAGTTGAATGTGTTCTCTGCAGTGACAGACTCTAAAATGTAGTGTGCTGTGTCATCAGTTTCAGTATGTTATAGTGTGTTAAGGATGGTTCTGCAATATAGTGCTATATGAGCTGGGCATGAGATGTAACACTCTATAAGAGTTGAATGTGTTCTCTGTTGTGCAAGTTCAGAATATAGAGAATTAAGGAGTGCAGAAGTCTTGTTAAAGACTTGGTAAAAATATCACAGTCCAGTTTACGAGGAGATGTTGAGGGGTGCAGAATTAAGGAGTGCAAAAGACTTGTTAAAGACTTGGTAAAAATATCACAGTCCAGTTTACGGGGAGACGTTGAGGAGTGCAGAATTAAGGAGTGCATAAGACCTGTTAAAGTTTTGATAAAAATATCATAGTCCAGTTTACGGGGAGATGTTGAGTAAAATATTATGTACTTTGTTCTATTGCTTATGCTTGTCTTGTATTTTTTAGAAGAGAAGGGTAAGAAAGTCAAAACAGTGCTATTGCCTTTATTGCTTATAATGGCTGAGTATAAAAAGCCATCTCTGTCTTTCATCATCTTCAGTTTGAGTAATAACAGAATTTGTTACAGAGCCGTTCTCTATTACTTTTCTTTTTCTTTCTTCTTCTTCGATCTTGGCTTTTTCCATGCATTTGTATAGTTATCTAATTGAGAGTGAACATAGAAGAAAACATGCTACTGCAATTTGCAATAAGTTAATTCCATTTGTATAGTTGAATCAAATTAAACAATACCAAATAGTTCTCTTAATGCACTGAAGCTCTCACGTTTTTCAAGAAATTATTGCATTTTGAATTCGGGCCAATTTAGAAATCCTTA